CAACACACAGAGACACATTTTCTATCACATTGCTGCACTGTCTGGTTTTCCTTAGTATCACGTATCACTGAAAGAATATTGTTTGTTTACTTGTTTTTTCTCTTTCCTCCCCTCTGGAATGTAGACTCTTTGAAAATAAAGTCCCGTCTGTCTTGTTTATTGTTCTACCCCCAGTAACTGTAATGGTTTCTAGCATACAGCAAGCAATCAAATATTTGTTAGATAAATGAATCAAGTATTATAATGGAAATAATAAACTGCTAGGAGAACATAGAGAAGGAATTTCTTTTGCCTGAATGTGTCAGGGAAGGCTTCCCTGAAAGGGGAACATTGAGTCATCTTTTTAAATCAGTAAAAGTTTTACTGGGCAGTAAGGAGTGAGGGGAAAATAAAATTGTGTACCAAGGAAATAGCATGAGCAAAGGCCCAGCCTGCTATGTAGAGGAGCCACAAGGAGAGATGGTCTTCAGCATCCTTTGGAGAAGAGGCAGGAGTTAAGATACACAAGAGGCTCCATCCTTAATGTTTTTGTCAATGATACAGAACTAAGATTTGAGAGACTTTAAGCAAAGCAGTGACATGATTGGATTGTATTAGATAAAGATCATTCTGGCATCAGCATGGCAGGATAAGTTAAAGTAGACCAAAGCTAGAAGCTGGGAAGATACAGCAGAGAGTCAGAAGATACAAAGAGTGGTAGGACAAAACCCTAACACTACAATATAGAATGTAGTGAAGAATGAGAATCCAAAACATGAGGCTGAGAATGGCTCGCCTAAGAAGTATGATGAAAACTAGGTGAGTGTGGTATCAAGGAAGCCTAGAATAAGGTATTTCAAAAGAAAAGAGTCTAGTTAGATACATCATAACCCAGGAACTCTACTTCTAGGTATAACCAAGCAGGCGCATACTTATGAAAAGTTATCTCTAAGAATATTCTGAGAAAGATTGTAACAGCAGAAAAGTGGAAACAACTTAAGCATCCATCTTCAGGATAAGAGATAAATTGTAGTCTATTCATATAAGGAAATACTATATAGAAGTGAAAGTAAATATTCTAGGGCCATGCATGGCAACATAAATGATTCTAATAACAAAATGT